TAATTATATAATGCATTTTTTCACACAAATGTATGGTTCGTCATAATTAATGTACCTACCTACAAGTTAATAACGGATATTTTAGCAAAGGATAGTAATACTATAGCTAACAGTTTTAAATACTATACTAATATATTATATGATTTGTTTTCCGAAGCGATTTGTTCAACCTCCGTTACTCCTAAAATAAAAATAAAAATTACTACGAGGTAACATTGCTGATGAGCCGCTCCTACTAAAAATCGTTTTTTGTAAATAAAACACATCAATGGTTATTGTAGTACCTATATATAAAATACAACTCAGATCGACCACTCTGATAAGTGGCAGGTGATTCAAATGCTTTGAATTGTATGCATTTTTTTGGAATGTGATTCGTATGCACCATTGTAACAATAATACAGCATCTACAGTGTCAAGGAATCAGATGAAACCAGATTCAATAAGTCATAAAAATTTTTAGGACCAATTTATTTTGCACACAATACGGTTTCTATCAAATCCTCTAGCAATTATTTTAAATGCAGTGTATTATGGTTGGTACATACTTCAATGTTAATATACATTTAGGTAGACCTTACGCCCATAAAGCAATAAATCATCGACAACCGTCACTAAACGAGACAGAAAAACACTTACACAGATAAAATCGATTTGTTCCAAGAAAAACCTTTGGGGTAGGTAACCGGTTCTCTATGTCTGGCTTTGTATTTTTTGTCTCCATAGTGGTTGCTATCACTTGTATCTCAAAAAATTTATATTTTACAGTTACCTTGCGTCGCTTTATGAAAAATTATGTTAGCGCATATAGAAAACTTTTGCAATGCCGGACTACGGGGGTGCACCTGTAGATTTTTTAGTGGGGATCACATCAACCATAATAATATAAGCCAGTAAAATGAGAAAACGACTGGAACTAACCCATTGAAATCTGCATTATGGCGTACACAACAAATTCATAGCTTTCAGATTGGCATACTTTAAGTCCGTAACGTTAAAATTTGTGCATAGCTCTACATTCCATAAAAAGGGGTGACGCACATTTMTAGTAATATCTTCTTGTAACTCATGAACATTGAGGTTAAAAATTATGAAAAAATAAATAAATAATGGGTGTATAACAATTGTCCATAGAATTATCGATTCGCATACTTTAATTAGTTATTACAAAATAGCAAAAACTAAAATGTTTTTGTTTTAAAATAAAATATAAGAAAATACTAGTCGTATGTCAAAATAACTCGTTATAAAAATGAATGAACTAATAATTTTCCATAGATTCTGATTTTCCATTTCTTCAATATATTATCGTAAGCTCAAGTAATATTGATATATTACGATACAGTAAAAAGGCAAAATTAATTATATTCCTATGGAAAAATAATCGTTTTTTTTTCTATTCCTTATTTTAATTCCAAGATCTTAGGTAAATTTTCGTCGTAAGTGATAAGTCAGCAGTCGTGGTCTATAAATTACCTTAATCTATACGGTTTATTTACGTCGTAATTTATATATATCTTAATAATTATTATTGGGTGTATGTGTTTGCCTATTGATTTGAACAATGCAAAACAATATTATTTAATTCCAATGATTGCGTACCTATAAAAAWATAWATAAATAATTTAATATTGCCAAATCAATCATTTTCCTTTAATTGGTCGAAATGATAGGTGGATTTATTTTTTGGAATGATTTTCTCAATTAATATACAAACGTACTGAGCATTTTTTTTAAATGTATGCAAACAAGGACCATRAACTACATAGTACTCACATTTCAAAACATATGAACAAACCGTGAGCGGCTGTAAGTCTCAATGGAATATAATATGCGTTTATTATATTATAATCTCAAAAACATAAAAATATGCTGTTGAAAC